AGTACAACACATGAAACTCCCCCTGATGAATACACCACTGACGTGTGATCATCTTGGAACTTCTAGTGTCTCTTAATGCCTTCTGGAACTCCATTAAGACATGGTCATGTCGTGCCTCTCATGCAACTGACCATTCTATGTCCTGGTTGGACTGATTTCCTTGTTGGACTGGTGCCCTGGTCGGATGGTACTTGACCAGCACTTGGATGGGCTTATGATCTGCATACAGCCATTGTTTGCAGGCCCATCTTGTGTCCTCTTATGTCCCACGGATCCACTGATCATATGGCATAGCCATTTCGTGGACATCCTATATAGAGTCATAGACCAAAACATATATGGACCATCCTTAGGTTCTCATGGACACGCCTAGTCCATTTGGTCATACACCAATTGTATGTGCTAATGGTCTTGTCCATTATGGTCGATATCCTTTCCTAATCTTTTGGTATATCCATGTTATGTGATAGACCTTAACTATCACGTCCATAACCTTATGAGTTACCTCACCAGTTGCTGCAATGAATATTATGATCACATCAAACCATGGATCTGCAGCAAATGCTCATGGACCTTTGTACATGAATTATCGACCTTTCTTGCCTTTAGCAATACCATATCTATTAGGACTTAACCATGCCTACTTCTGGTCACTCTTTTGGACTCTTATAGTTTTCTTTATCCATTAATACAAAACTTAATGGTCGTGCCTTCATTCTAGTCCCATACTATAACCTTTGTACTTAAACATCACATACCATACTTCCTTTGATGGTGTCCCATGACCTTCTTATATTAAGCAACGTACCAAAGTACATTATGGTCATGGACCTTACCCACACATGTCTTTAACTCGCCAATGAGTGGTTATATCATAACCTAATGTTGCCTTAACAACATGACTTGTGTGTGGTGATGTGTAGATATAGTTTATACTATATTGGTTCCTTAGGACCTTTAAACTATGCACCTTGATAGCTTAGTACCTCTAGGTCATAACCACGTTTTGAACCAACATATTGGTCATCACACCATGGATGATTGGACTTAGAATGTAACCGGACCTTAGCCTTGGTCGGTATGAACTTTGGTATGGACCATACGGCTCCCTTAGCCTTTCCATACGTCCACTTCTTATGAAGTTTGGTAGTGCTGATTTCAACACCTATGCCAATGATTTAATCATTGAACCATCCATCCTTTCTATGGATTAGTTTACTATACACCTTTTGTATAATACACATGGACTGATATGGATTTATTCACTTATAGAACCATCTACTTGCAGCTGCATAATATCAGTCTATGAACAGCTTAGGAACAATGCTGTTCTTGAGAATTCCTTTCTCATTTCCATGGTTTTCCTTTAACCATTAATCCAGTGAACCATATGCTACTTACTACCTCATTATATGTCAACTTATGACCAGACATTTGCCAATTTCGAATTTGACTAGTAGCACCCACCACTTAGGAGTTTATCTCCTAATAATATGT